GCGGAGCATGGCGTGGGGTGAGCTGAGCCTCCTCCGCTGGCTGCGGGAGAGCCGCCAGTCCAGGAAACTCATCCTCCTCATCGTCTTCATCGCCCTGCTCCTGGACAACATGCTGCTGACGGTGGTCGGTAGGTAGAATGGGTTTTGTATTTTTTTTTAATTTTTTTTTTTTCCCCTCCAGATTTATGCCAGAAATAATCCCCCATGACAGATGTACTCCCTGGATGCGTGATTAATGCTCTCAACCCAAACATTTACAAGCACCGATTTTTTTTTTTTTTTAAACACGAATTATTTTCTAGGTATTGCAAACACACAGCAGTCTCACTTTATTTCTGTGTTAATTGCAGGATAAGGAATAGTATTTCTGTGCTAACTGCAGGATAAGGAATAGTATAGAATGGTCTTCATAATTCTAACCCCTCTAATACTTCACAGAATGACAAATAACTGTATTTTTAGCCCATAATCGGTTTTTTTTCCTGTGGTCAAGCAACTGAGAGAACAGGCTAGATAACATTGGAGATGCCTGTTTCCTTGCGATAGTTCCTCTTTCTGACACATTGGGCTTAAAATGATAGGTTAGTAAGAAAACTATCTAACTGGTTTTTAAGAAAAGCACTTCTATGAGTTGGTTTCATAAAATAATACAAGTTTTGATCAAAGTTGAAGATGAAACTTTTACTGGCTTCAGTGGCATAGTGTGAAGATTTAGGAATCTACTCAAATCAAACACTTGAACATTTTTCACTGTTAGTTTTAGAAGTCCTCATTTTCAAATGTTGATGTGAATTTAAAGTAAAAGGTTCAGAGAAGCTGGTGGTTCATGGATGCACACACACATGTGTGTGAATGCACGCATTTCTCTCAGAGGTGAATCGGGCTGTGCCGAGCTGGCTCTCAGATGGTGCTTGTGGTGTCAGCTTCTGAATCAGACTCCTGAATTTCTTGGGCAACTTCAGTTTAAAAGCTGATGCCACAATGTAGACTTTAGCTAAAAACTTTTATATTTCTAGCAAGTTGATTTGGGATTTTTTTTTACATGGACATACTTTCTTACAAAGTTATTAACATTTAATTACTTATTCAGTAATATGTATGCTAGAAGCCCTAGAAATTATTGCGGTCTGCAGACTTATTGCAAGAGTGGGCTTTCTCAGGAAGAGATGCAAGACAAGGAGGGGTGATTCTGTCTCTAGTGTTAAACTGAATGAACCCGACATCTGTTTTTACAAATTCTGAAATGCTAATTTCTGAGATACAAGGTAATGCAATTAAATTGCAGCTACAATCCTAGAGCATATAAAGGAGGTCCCTTCTTGATGATCTTTTCAATGGAATTTTTAAAAAAATAATGAGATATGCAAACATCAACACATTAGTTCTGATTATTCAATATAGAGGTGTTACGGTTTTTTCATTCTTATGGCTGTTACTTATCAATATGTTTGTGCTTTATTTAAAATATGTTTTACCTTTTTAAAATTTGGTTTTAATAGTTTAAATACTTTTCTCATCCTTCATGTTTTCTTAATCTAATAAGTGGATTTGTGTAGTCATGTGCAACAAAGAGACTCTTCAGACATGGGGTTTGGTACTTGTATTTTGCTTTCTGAATGATGTCTGTATAGAAAATCTTATACTTACGAAAATTGGCAAAAAATAAAGATTCGTGTAAAATAACTTTTTGTTTTAAACTGCACTTCTGTGTTATGGGTGTGCTTTTTTCCCATCAGCAAACTTCTATTTGAGTTCTGTGTTTCCACCGTTCAGAATCCTTACTAATGTGCTCTGTAGGAAAGCCTTGTATTTCCTAATCAGTGGCAAAGCAAACAATAAAATTTTGTGATTCCATTTACAAATAACCTGACAGTAAGATGCCAATATATTCTATTTGTTTTTCCAGTGCCAATAATTCCCAGTTACCTTTACAGCATCAAACATGAGAAAAATGCCACAGAAATCCAGCCCACTAAGCCTAACGTAGTCTCAACAATGATGGACAATTTTGAGAGCATCTTCTCCTACTACGACAACTCAACAATGCTTACTGGAAACGAATCTGATAAGACACAACCCAGAGAGCTGCATCATACTCAGACAGAACAAATGATAGTAAATGTGACTCCTTCCCCATCTGACTGCCCAAAGGAAGATAAGGACCTGCTGAATGAAAATGTTCAAGTCGGGCTCTTGTTTGCTTCTAAAGCAACAGTCCAGCTAATCACTAACCCCTTCATAGGGCCACTGACAAACAGGTATGTTATTTCTGCAGTGTTACTCCGGACTTTATATTGGTGTTTTAGTCTGGACTAGTATTTCAAACAAAGTATTTTTAATTGTGGCTCTGGCTTACTGGTCTTCTCACTTTACCTGTAGGAATATTTTAGTGAAATACATTTGGTGAAGACTTCTCAACACATACATCCTTTCCAAAATAAATTAGAAAGCTGCACATGAGCCATCTGAGACGTTCAGTATCATACACTTTTCCTCCAGCTCCTGAGACCTCAGGTTTTCATAGAAACTTTTGCTGAAATGATGTAGAAACATCTGCAGTACAGTTACATGGGGCCAAAAAGACACTACAAAGTAGTATTTACAAAGCACTGTGAATTGATGATGTACCTGTTACACCTACATTAGGCAGACATGATATTGAAACTGTAGGCAGGGCTCAGATCCCTCCCGTGCTCTCACAGAGATGCGTAGCTCTTGGTGCTATTTGGTATTCAACGATTTGGAGTCATCTGAGGTAAGAATCAGTGGGAAATTTGTGTGGACTTCAGTGAAAAATGAAAAAGTGTCAAATTTTGCTGATGCCATGTTCACCACAAAGTTCAGTGGATCACAGATTTCCATCAGTACATGATCTAGCCCAGCCTTCAAGTTATTGTCTCTAAATTCTTGCATGTATATGATGTCTTGAACTAAACATGTCTAAATGGTACTTTATACAGAATGTATTTGAGGCAGGATCAAGAGTACAAGCACTGATATCAATGACTTACAGCCCACCCCCCCCCAAAAAAAAAAAAGAATCTGAGCACTAATGATGTTTACATGGAGGTTTAAAAAATTTTATAATGTCATTTAAATTTTTTATGTTAATAATTAACGTGTTCTTACTGTTAGCATTTTGTGTAACTGTTCCCCACAGAAGAAGCCGCTGCAGTCCTCCTAAACAGAATATGAGATCAGTCTCTGCCAGAAATAAACTCCAAGTTGCATTTTAGTTGGGTCACTAATTTTCATACTTTTTTTTCTTTATAAAAGCAGCTTAAATAAGTTTTCAGAAAATAATATGCAGCAGAAATTTGTCCTTGTAAAACACTTTTGTTTAAGCAGTTAATGCTGATTGTATGTGATGATACCCAAAACAACCAACCTACTTCAATGCTAGATATTTCAGGTTTTGGAGCCAAAACTACCTTTCTTAGCTTTTACAGCTCATACATAGATATATATAGTCTAAGTGTTTAATTTCAATCTGATAGAAGAGTATCCAACTGAGGGCTAAGCGGAGGTTTGACTCACACTGTTATGAATTCAAAACCTGTATTCAGTCTGTGGAACTGATCTGAACACAAAAGCTTTAAATGAGACAGACAGTTTCATTTCTCTCTCATTTCACCTTATCTCCTACTGTACACCACCTACACAGATATAAGTACACCATTGCAAAATTACTTTTCCACAAATACTGCTTCAAGTTGAGGAGGAAAGCAGATTTTTGTTACCTGCATTTTCTGAATTGTTTTGTGAGGGTATGACAGCTCATCCACAGGCAAAGTAACATAACGTCAAATAATATAGTTCTTTAGGTATTCTTCCAGATTTTCCTAAATGTTTAAATTATTGCCCTGTTGATATTTACTCTTCTCCATTAGTATCATAATTTCCACTCTCCGTTGGTGTCATCGTTTCCACAACCTGCCAAACCAGGAGAAAGGCAATAATACACTCCATGTTGTCAGCAGCGTTTTCAGTAGCACAGTTACATCATGCTGTAGATATGATCTCTGCTCTTTCTTTGGTAGACATCTGCCTAAGGAAGAGGGTGCATGTCCCTTACATCCTTAGGTCTGGCGATGGGGCAGGAGATGTTCTTGGAGCATCTCCCTTCGCCGTTAGGAGTGGGGTTGGCAACACATTAGTGCTGTGAGCTGAGATTTGCTCCCGGAAACATCCTACAGGTTTGTGCACGGGGCTGAGTGTGTGACTGTAATCACAGGGGCAGGTTTGCAAGCTCAGATGCCCAAAAAGTGCAAGAAGAAGAACCAAGGAGCACATCACCCCAGAGTACTGTGCAACAGGCTCTTCTCATATAGCAAAAATGAGTGCCTCAGTGTCAAAGTGGCCCTAAATTAGATTTAAGGGTTACTGCTGTTCTTTCCTATGGTTCAGTATCTGCCTTTCTTCTGAGAAGTGTTTAATGGAAATATCAGTTAACACATTTATCAATTAACTGTAGAAGCCACTGGTAAAAAAAACCCCAAAACCCTAAAGCTGACATTTCCTTATATCATCAGTTAAAAGGCAGTGTGAAAACTGTGATTATTGTAAATGAAACAGAAAATACCTGAGTTATCACTATAAAAAACTCTTCCTTTCCACTGATAAGCTGTTAGTGATAACTGTTATTGCAAAATTTCAGCAAAATATCACAGCTGAAGGAGAATGGGTTGCTTAGTTCAAGGTCAGTGTGCAGTTTGTTAAGAAGCCTGGAAGTTTCTTTTTCAAATAGGCAGCACACTGTGTTAATGGCTTTTATTTTTCAATCAAATATAATTGGAGTGGTTTAGAGTTTTAGTAAAGTATGGAGATCCTGGTTTTCAGTACACACTGGCTTTGAGTGCTTGAGTTTGTACAGGATGCATCAGGATGCTCTATTCATCTGAGTCTGTGCCAATTATTACTTTATTTTAGGTTTTCTCAAAGTTTTGTAGGCTGTTTCCCCACTTTTTCTATAACTACTGTGGTGTAGATTTTTAAAAATAAATTATAAAATTTTTAAGAATTAAGTTCTGCTAAAAATGTTTCTTATTTAAAGCCCAGCTCTTTCTGTGGAATACGAGACAAAATGCATACCTGGCTTAGTGAACTGGTTTGTAGTTCGTGAAACACAATTTACCCTTGGTCTAACGAAGCCATAGCAAAGGAAACACTAAGTGATGGCTTTGCCATAGGATGTCAGCAACACGTGTCCCATCATGGCATGGTTTCAGGGCAGAGCTGATAAGATTTTGTGACTCAGATGCACATTATGTTTTTCCTGGTAGTGAAATTGGTAAGAAACTATGAATAGCACAGCACTTGATACAGGGCATTTTGTCAGGAGGATGCACTGGCAAGGGGAGACTGAAGGCTGTCTAATCCTTTCCAGCGAAGAGAGTGGGCAAAAGGCTGCCATACCCTCTATAACTAGTCTATTTGCTCCATTATTTTTTCAAACTCTTAAGGAGCTCTCTGAATGAGGCTGATCCCAGCTGTGCTGGACCCACAATCCACTAGAGCCATTTATTTTATCTCCCTCCATTTATTTATCAGTCTGAAAAAGTATGTAGTTTTAATCTTGTGCATTTCCATATTGGCTTCAAAAATAATTACAACTGAACAGATATTTCATCATCATTTTTACACCAGCTTGACTACAGATGTGAACTTCTTTGCATGAGAGAAAGCTAGGACCATGATATTTCGTGACCAACATACATGCAGAAAACAAGGCAGAGAAAAAAATAGCATTTGTAACTATTTAGTTACAGCTCAGTTCCTATGTAAGCTTTCCTTTCAGGTTTTGGCAGGTGATGGAAATGACCAGTTCTGCAGCCTCTGTGCCTGCCCTGTGGAAGCAAAGAGGGTATGGACCTGTCCCTGTCTGATATTCCTTACCTTCACCCATGTTCAGTGGTTCATTGGTTTATAACCACATATATCCTCCTAGTCATATATCCTCCTAGTCTTCATGGACAGTGAAGCAGATAGCCAGACTGCCAGGACAGATTTAACAAGAGATGCTCCCAGTGTGGTGTAACTGTATAACAACAAGGTTGAAAGCAGTGGGTTTGCAGCACTGTAATGAACGGATAATTAGGCTGTAATCATCCACAGCTGCTAACCTCATCAGTGTAACCTTTATTTTATTGCAGCACAGTACCCATCACTTGGTTCTCTTGTTGTAGGGTAACCTTGTTAATGGGTATAATCCCCTTCCAAACAGTCCTGCAACCTGGGGCCAATGTGGGACTGAAAGGGAGCAATTTAGATGCTCTCCATCAGTGGCAGCCTTTCCCCTCCCTCCTTCAGGTAATGACTCTGGCTTTTTCAGAGGCCTGAAATACTTGTAGGGAGCACTTTTAGCTGCAAGTGTCCTTGGTGAAATGTGTTAGACTGCTTCAGATTCTCTTGGAGGGTTTTGAAAGGAATGTCTGAGAAAATGACATGCTTGAGCGTGATAACGAGAAAAAAGAAGAGACAAGACAGGCTGTCATATTCTTTTGTGTTGCACACATGCAGAGGAACAAAATATAGAGAGAACTGTGATGGAGTGTGTCATGTCATAGCCAAGAAGCAGAAACTGCATATTCACAGGTTTCACATAGCGAGAACACAAATGGCCCAGGACCAAGGGACAGAATCACTGGATAGTCACTTGGCTGTTAGTACCTTTCATTTTTTGTGATTATTTATGATTTAAAGTGTAACTGTTCAGCGAAATCTTCTAGTCTGTGCTCTCTAGTATCTGTTGGACAGATCAGGGAATGCAGCTGCAGATGAGACATTTGTGGTAGCACAACTGCCAACTAATTAGTTCTGCTACTTCAGGAGGAGGCAGGGTTGGGTAAGATTATGCAGGAAAAGACAATCTGTGTATCTAACTAAATATCAGCTGGATGTGGGTAACACTGTCCCCTGAGCAAGGGCAACCACGACTTGTAGAGGTTTAGCAGTTTTGTGCAGGGGCAGCATGCCAGAATTGTGCATCTCCAAATTTTGGGTGAGTCTCCAAGCAATTTTTAGGTTTGCAGAGGATCACAATGACTTGCTTAATTCAGCACATGTGCACATCATGTTCTGACTTATATAACTTTGCATCATCTTATATGGTGGACCACTAGCAATGGTGAACGGCTGAAAGGACTAGCTGTGCCCATATAGATTCTGGTTCTGAAAAGATTAATTTCTATGTGGAGGAAAAGGCATGTGTTAGATGTCAGTACTTGTAAAGTATCATGGGCTGCTGGGCAGCAAGAGTGGAACTGAGTTCTCCTCCAGTTCATTACCCTCTGCTGTGTATTGCTTCACACCTTGCTGTGACCCCGTTTGTCCGAGATAAAGGAGGAATAATATCTGCAGCTGCAAAAATTAAGAGCAATGCTTGAACAGTATCTAACTGAGCATTGAAAGTGACTTCCGAAATACTTGTTTTTGTACAGCTTTCAACCACTGGAGACTTTCCAAGTGTAGGAAGCCTACTGGAAGAAGTGAAACCTGTTCTAACTTGAACAAAAAAATCAAAACTCAGAATAATCGGTTTGGTTTACCTATGTCAAGATTGTTATTATTAAAAATTAAAAGGAATTATAGACTCTTCGGTTATTTATTGACCTACTTAAGCTAATATAAATGCCCAATACTCTCAAATCATTGGAAGCTGAAATCAATCAGTATTCCTTTGAAAAGCATCATCCATTGTTGAAGAATTTGTCTGTAAATAACACAAATGAAATAAAACTAAAGAATATAAATTAAAAAAATTGTTCAAGAATTTGGCCATTAAATAATAAAAACACATTTAAGATGCAGAACCTTATAAAAAAGAAGCTGTGAATAACGTGTGCTGAATAGAATATACAGGCTGTCTTCAGAACTACCTGGGTAGTGGTTTCAATTCTAGGGTAGATTTTTAATGGTGTGAAAAATAGTATGTTATGATTTGTTTTGTTGAAATTTCATTTTTAGATGTTGAAATTATGTGTTTGCTTGCCAGACAGAAAATCCTTTATTTCCTGGAAACTTGAAAATACTTGTAGCAACCAGCCATTTCAACAGGCTCTTTAGAGTCCTGATGAAGAAGTGGGCTGATGAAGAAAGCTTTGATCAGTTCCATTTTTACTCCTAAACCCATGGAAAGCAAAAATATTATTCTCAGGCTCTTTGGAACTCTTCCAGTGCTCCTGGCTGAGGCAGAACTCCCAACAAAGCTGATGACAAATTTTCCCAGTAAAAAAGCCATTGGTTTGATCGCGTCTCATTATAGTCATTGTCTCATGAGGATGGAAACAGATGAGCGTTGAAACGCTACTGAGATGTTTCAAAGCTCAGCATGCTCAGACAAATCTTGCCTTCTCATATCCTTGGCAACCCCGTGAAGGCCCAGAGGGGCTTTATTGGGAACAATTATGGTGGAATGAGAACAGGGCAATCAGGTTCTAAATGAGAGAACAATTTCTTCCAGGGATTTCAGATACAAAGTCTACTGTGCCAGATGAAAAGACATTTGTTACATGGACAAATTGGATCATGTGGTCCACAATACATAGTTCAAAGCCTGCCGAGGTTTTTTTGCGGTGTATGCACTGATGTGAGTAAGCCTAACTCAAAACATCAGTGAGACAATCTCAGAAATGTGAATGTTCATTTTGTTTTCCAGAATAGGCTACCAGATTCCACTGTTTGCTGGCTTCTGCATCATGTTTGTGTCAACAATCAGTAAGTGTCCACGTTTTCTTTGGTCTGGTCCAGATGCAACTTGTAAATAAATGATCTCTAATAACTACCACTAGGAATTCTTGTTCATGTAGAGGGACTGATTTCTGAGGGAAATTTAAGGGTGACTGCTCCGTGTGGATGGTGCTGCTGATGAGGTTTGACAAGTACACTCTTATGAACATGCTCTAAGGAATTCACCACCTTCCATCCCACCTCGGCAGGTATCTTCCTGAGCTGAATCTTTCTCTCAGGTTCTTGTAATCTGAAGCAGTGCTCGGTTTTAAACTGATAGCCATGGGAAGGCTATCAGCCATGAGGGGGCTGTTTCACAGGGTCCTGAACAACTAGCTAGCAAATGGGCTTATCAGAAAGATCGTGAGGCTGCAGTGGCTCATGAGTAGAATGTGAGTCAACAGGATCATGTCATAGCTAAACATTGCTGTGGGGTGTGCAAACAGGAGCATAGCCTGCGAGTCAGCTCAGATCATTTGTCTTCTCTAATGGCATTGATAAGGCTTCAGCTGCTGTTTTATGTTTGGTTTTGGCATGGCACTTAAAGTCGTGGCCCAGATGGAAAGAGTGCAGAGGAGAACATCAGGGATCATTAGAAGCTTGGGAGGAGCAATGAAAGAACCAGGTTTGCTTCGGAAGACAGATATAAGATACATCAGAGTCTCTGACAAAAAAGGAAGGGAACCATTTTCCATGTCCACTGTATATAAGAGAAGGCAGAACGAGCCTAAAACTGTATCATCATGGGGACTGAAGTGCTGGAGAAGATTACCTGGTCTTAGAGTCACTGACAACTTTGCATTTTAGGAACATGTTAGACAAATTTTGGTTGGGATGGACATAAGAATAGTAAGCCTAATTCATGGTAGAGGGGTGTACTGTTGATGTGCTGGCGTACTTTCTTCCTTTATTTTTATTGATTTTTCCCTGTCTGTATGAGTAGGGATTTTTGTAAGACCTGGTAGGAAGCACAATGCTGCAGGGCAGGTGGGAGAAGTGCACGTGGATCTTAGGTTTAGTTGGTGTGTAACAGCTTCCCCCAGTTATAAACTGTCTGGCAAAATTCCTAAGGTGTCCAAACAGATAGGAGCTTTAAAAAGTTTTTAAAAACTCACGGTAGATTTAATGATACTGACTATGACACAGGCTCTACAGAGATGTGCTTGGGTCTCTGGGACACTCCTACCTTCTGGTGCTGTGGATGGGGAATTTGCCTGGACTGATGAGTCCATCCAGGGCTTCTGTCCCAAAAGGCAGAGTGCAGCCTGGGGTAAAATCTCTTAGAGAGAGAGAGAGAGAGAGAGGTACCTCCTCTGGTGCAATTTCTCTGGTAGTCTGCTACTGGGAGGATCAGGAACTCCCTGCAGACCCTGAATGGGTGGACCTGGCTTCCCTGCACCTTCAGCCAGCAATGCTGCATAGTATCTATAGCAGAGCTGGCAACACCAGTGTAAAAACCTCTCTCCACCCATTTGCTTATTGGAGGAAACGTCAGTGCATGCCTACATGTGGGTGCATGTGTGTTAAATCCTGCCTCCCCAGAATGGCTGTAGCTTCGGGCTGGGCAGCCTTGGATGAAGCCGCGTGGAGGGGCAAGGCTGGAAGGAAAGGTCTTATTACTCCTTCTGTGTGCAGCTGAATCAGAGCCGGATGTAATCAAATCCTAAGTAATTAGTTAAAACTGCTTGTGCGCTTGCATTCGGTGTTACCAGGAGGCTCAGACAGCTGAGAGCAATTCAACACTGACACTTCTAAATGCAATAAGCGAAAATAATGCAGTTAGTATTGAAAGTGGCACAAGTCACTGTAAACACCTGACTAAATTGCATGAAGTTTTTGTGATTGTTTCAAGAAATCTAACTTTTTAACCTAGTTAAGGTTAACCTAATTTTTAAAATTTACGTCTTTTTTTTTTTTTTTTTTTCTCTCTAGTGTTTGCCTTCTCAGGAAGCTACGCGTTACTGTTTATTGCCAGGTCCCTTCAAGGAGTGGGTTCTTCTTGTTCTTCTGTGGCAGGTAAGAGAAGAGATGACAGAGCAAAACACAAATCACTGATTCTGTCATTTTTAGTAATTTTGTAAATTGCATTTTGTCTGCAGTTTCGATAATCAATACAGAAATATTCGATTAAATCATTTTCACTTTTTCCTGTGCCTTTCATATCAAGTAGCTCCAAAGCAAATGTCTTTTCAGACTTTTTTGGTATTTGGGTTGCAGTAAGGTAGAGCACAAAATGAACTCCACTCTCCCTGGGATTTCTGCCTGTGTGTCTTCAACTTTTTTAATTCA